TTCTTAGGTCAATTCGTTTCCGCTTCTTGAGAATATGTTCTTTCTAGGTGAGTTTTGAGTCAAGATGTATTCCTAGGTATTTAGTGCCAGAGGATTGGGGAAGTTGGATATTGTTAAGTGAAACTAGGGGACACGGGTCTCTTCTCAAGGTAAAAGTCACTTGGACTGATCTTGTTTCATTCATTTTAATTCTCTACTTGTAAGACCATGTCTCGATTTCATTCAGTTGTACCTGTAGAATATTCGATTCTATAATTGGATTTTCGTCGGCTGCAAGGATGACAGCATCATCTGCAAACGTACCAGTGATGGTTTCATTAGTGGAGGGTAGAACTGCTGTGTATAGATCCACATCAGATTTTATAGGAAAGTTACTTTCATCCACTCTTGTTCGGAATTCTCTCCCACTCAGATAGGAATTTAAGGATAGGATGTACGTGATGGGTCAATATTTCTATTTTGAATATCAGGCATGTGTGCCAAACCTTATCAAAGGCTTGGCTAACATCTAGAAAAGCAGCTGTGCAGTAGTGTTTGCTTTCCATTGCAGAATTTATGGTGTGTACTATTCTATGAACCTACTGTATTGGTGAGTGTTTTTTTCGAAAGCCAAATTGGTGGTTGGGTATCCATTCCTCTGTATTGGGGTCTGAGTTAATTTTTTGTAACAGTAACCTTTTAAGTATTTTTTCAGGGGTTTTAAAGAGCTTTGGCCAGTAGTTTAATCGTAGAATATAGTGTAGTTTTTGTTGATTTAAGTGATTTTTATAAAAGGTTCAATGCCAGCATATGTCGGTGCCAGGCGGATACATTTGTTATCCTTCCATAATACAGTCTTACGTCGATCCCAACTTGAGGTCATGTATTCTATGGAAAACCCTCTACTATCTTTATTTTGTACATAACATGTATCATTTTGAATAATACATGAATGAAAGCGAAGTATAAAAGTTGTCAAGATACAAGATATGATGCACGAAATTAAGAATCGTTTGTGATAAACGAACCACAACATTTGATGTTGCTCCTAGGTCTGGTATACCAGGCAAGACTACCTTGTCTCCCACACCATTTTAAATTTCGAAACAATAGGCAAAACCATGTGAATCACATAGAACAAACAGTTTTACACCCCATTTGTGCGGCTTGTTTGGCATATACTGACGCAAATGGTGTTTCGTTTATGTAGAGGACATCTGTTCATCAGCACAAAGTCTAGCCGTTTTGATGATGGAATCAAACCTGCCATTAAGTTTGTTAGCTAGCGTACGAATTCGAAATAATGAATCGAATCCTGGTTCACATTTCTTCTTTCGTTGTGATTCATCTTGAAACGGTCACCTTTTCACGATCACGATTCATCTCGAAGCATATTTTCACAATAGGTTTTACTAAAAGCATTATATTACTGAAACAGGAAATATAATATACTTACCATAAAGTTTTCAAGTTGATCACTATCGTAACGTATTTTTTGATGATTTAAAAATAGTGTTTATGAAGAAATAATTTTCTTAATTAACAACAAGTTGAGAAATAATCACTCCCAAAAATTACATATTTTACATTTTATTTGACTTTCTAGGCGATCTTTAATATTATATTTCCCTTATCGATTATAATAAGCGGTTTATAATGTGATTGATTATCTACTTTTATTTTATTTTTGTTACATATTTATTAATAATCCTTTTTCTCTTGTTATTCTTTGCCATTTTTTTTATTTTACTTTTTTTTTAACCTAATTTGACAACATTATAAAACCGCATCTTAAATTCGATTTCTATAGTTTCTCAAGAGTATTAACCTGCGTGTTCTAAGTAATTATTATATCTTTTACTTTAGGTCTAAAGATTGTTCCGTGTCGTATAGATCAAATTGTTTGCAAACTAGTTTGAAAACTGATATTAATATGATATTTACATGCCAATTCCAATGTTTTCTTTACAAAAATAATAATAAATAAATCTATTCTTATTCGACCGCGTTATAATTCTATTATAATGAAACGCCACGCCAATTATATTCCATTTAGCAAAGTTCATTCCCTTTTTGTTGTACGTTTCTTAATTGACATTTCTTTCACGACGTTACAATAGGTAATCAAGCTAGATTATACTTTACATAGAAATTACGGAGCGTTGACCAGGTTTTTAAGAATGTATGTTTAAAGTGCTACTCATAATTTAGTTTTAGGAGCTGCGAAACCAGACACTAGCAATTTGAGTAAAATTTCGAACCTTAAAAATACACACCTACTAACAACGCATCAGCAGAGGAGGCCAAAAATAATACTAAATATTCTAATGATTAAAAACTAGAAAAACGAAGCTGATAAAAAAATGATCCGAGTAAAAAAACACGTTACAAGGAATATAATACCCATGAAAGACAAGGAAAATATCCCTGACAATAATAACAATATGCCTAACTAGAAGTACAAGACTACAAATAGCTGAACACCCGCATGACTTGCTAAATCACATTTGAACAATGATCCCAGAACGACTTCTCCTCACCTTCTCGCAATCCCAGATTGCGTTAGGAATTCTCCTAACGCAATCTCTCTTGGTTTTCTTTTTTCTGACTATTTTTGTTATTAAGGGTTGATAAATTAGAACATTTAGAACCTTCGGTTATCTGGACACTACAAAATATCCCTACTCAAAAACGGGATGTGGCACTCCGGTAGTGACCGAGGAGGGGAAGCTTCTTATCGTCTACGTCTATGGATCTATATATATATATATATATATATATATATATATATATATATATATATATATATATATATATATATATATATATATATATCGTACGTTAAGTTTTGGATTAGATATTGCAAACTACATAAAAAGCAAAAGTTGGCACCATTGCCTCGTACGAGGTAATTGTAATTCTCCGATCCCCTCCGTCACCTTAGATTCTAGACTCCTATACCTAGACAGAAAACGAGAAAATGAAAACCATTTAGTAACACATAACAACGCAAGTGATTTGCATCTCTGTCTGTCGATTTTTGTTTTGCTTACGTGTACCCGGTTCATTTCTTATAACATAAACTCTATAAAAATACACTGACCATTATCAGGCGGTGCTTTGTATCGGTTTTGAATAATGTGAACAATTGTTTGTTATTAAATTAAAAATAAAAGCACATTTCTTTCAAATGATTAAATAAAGCATTTTGTATAAAACTTAAGAGGTTAAATGATATTAGATAAATAATTATAAAGAAAAAATGCAATATTTGTTTGTAAATAAATTAGCGAAAATGGCAACTATCAATTGTGAATAAATTACGAAATTAACTGGTCTTACTCATTATTGTTATCTGTAGAAAGAATATAGACTTACCCTCTGGTTCTATTGATGTATTCGTAACAGGTTGAAGAGTTGGTCGCGATGCATCACGACGCCCGGACCGCCGAGGCTATTGCACGAGAACCGATCAAAACTAGGTCCGTGTCGTTCGCTGTCTGGTGTTGAAGTCAGAAATACGTTGAGATGGTCAGAACTAAGGAAGCCTCTAACCGTTACGTGGTGGTCCAAGGGGTGTACCAATAAATCATTCTATTATATTGCGACTTTGAGTGGCGATAATTTAAGTTAATTGTCACGGTAATACGAAACTTTACATCAGTTCCTTTGTGACACATAACACAAAAGAGAAGGACAAATTCTCCGTACTTAAAACATAATAAAAGAGGTAGACAGTTTAAGTTTTACGAAATAACAGGAAGTAATATATTTTAACAAAGTCGTTAGAATACAGCATTGAATTAGATCACATTACAGTACCACAACAGAAAAATGAAAAAATATGAAAAGAATTCGTACATACTTTCCCAAACACAAAGAATGTACTCTTATTGAAAATAAAAAGTAATTCCTAATAAAATAAGAAATAATTCTTTATGTCCTACAGAAATAATTCAAAGGTTTGACTTTCTACGGCTGAACAGTATCCCAATCTGTCATAAAAACTTCTGCGGACAGATGTTAGAATTTCTGCTCTAACAGAATTGGAGACTTCTCTTATTCGTTTTTTTACTTCATCCAAATTTTTGGACTCTAGCCTCAGGATGATTGTAGATGATTCTTTTTAAATGTCCCAATAAAAGAAGTCCATGGGTTTAAGATCTGGAAATCGCGCAAGCTATTCAATATCGCCTGTTCCAAAATAGTACTGTTTAAGTACTCCCTAATTATTCGAACGTTGTGAACGGAACAGCCGCGTTGATGGAACTAAACATTCTCCAGATTTACATCCAGGAAGATTGAGAATAGCGGGAAGAACATGATTCTCTAACAAATCGAGGCAATCAAGTTACACTCAATCAAAAATGGACCTATTATGTGGTCTCTTAAAATGCCAGTCCAGACGTTAACTTTTTGAGGACGTTGAGTTCGGTAAACAACACTTTTTCGCTTGTTTTCCCGCACCCAATACCTCGTAATGGAAGAATTGTGTCTCCCTACTAACGAAACAAAAGATTCATCAGTAAATAAAATGTTTTTCATAAAAGTGGGTTCATCATTAGCCTTCATTATTAGTAAACTTTGATCAAATGAAAGGCAGATATCGAGCACAGTTTTATTAATTAAATCTTGCCCAAGTACTTTCGCTTCCTTCAGCATCTTCAGGGGCATTTCGTCAATTTTGGGCTATCCAACAATCACAGAATGTCATGACATTCTGTCATAAACTGCTTTTAAATCAGTCCTTAAGGCAGTTAAAAATATTGAAGAGAATCTTTATTAGCTCTTTAATTTAAAATATTGAAGATAATCTCTTTTAGCAGACCAAATGTGTTGAATATACCGGATATATAATAAATATATTTACATGACGTTATTTTTTCTAGTGTCTCCGAAATTATTAAAAAAATATATTTTACAATTTAGATGTAGTAGTAGATTTAGATGCTTTTACCAACCACATCTTATTTTATATATAATTGTAAATACCTCGCACTAATTGTTTAATTTATTTGCAGTGTCCGATGCTGAATATCGGCGAGTATGCGCGACATTCAAAAGGCTCACCAACGGCGGTCAGCTCCTGACTCGACATGCCTTCACTCAGAACGTACTAGGCGATGGAGTACCTCTAACCATAGCAGATTGGTTATATACAGCTTGTGGAGGAACCACTCGAGGAATAGCACTTAGAGATCTTATTTGCGGATTAGTTTTACTTACCAAGGGCACGCAAGAGGAAAAAATCAAGTAAGTAACTACATAGGTCAGATTAAAATAGTTGTCTCAATCAATTATATATCTTTCCGGACTTCGCAAGAAAAGGTAATTTGTGCTAACCTATTAGGTTTAGATTACAGTGTTCAGGCACAAATACATATTGAAGATTATTAAGTTTCTATACAATATTTTGAAGTCCATATTAGAGTGTAGGTTTTAGATGTCGGTATTTTCTAATAGTACATTATTTTTGGGATTTATAGACCTGAAATTGTTTTTTTCTGGCGTTTCGTCTATAACTTCTACAGAGATTACCAAAGGAGATGCGGCAACGGATTTAGTAACCTCCTGGAGTTCACTGATGACCATTTTCATAATCGTGAATGCAAAAAGATACGAACATGCATGGCTTTAAGAATAATAATATTTTTATGCAAACTGCTGGAAAGTAACTATTTGATAAAGTGCCAAAAGAAAATTATTCGAATGATATATTCGTTACGGAAGTTATCAATTATCGTGGCCACTGTAATTTTCGAATCAGCTGCCCTAAAGAGTTGTCCTAAACTATTATCTTTTTTAACCAATATATTCCTCTTCTTCCCATATATCTATTGTCCTTTATTTTGCGTTACATTATAAAGTACAAGATCATCATCATCATCATCACGTAGCGCTACAACCCTGGGTGGGTCTTGACTGACTGTACAATTTTTTTCCAATTTGTTCGGTCTTCCATCAACCTAGGATCAAATGGAATGTTCATTTTCCGGAGATCGGCTTGGATGTTATCTCTCCATCGCATTCTGGGACGTCCGAGTGGTCTTTTGCCTGTGGGAATCTCCTCCCGTACCAGTTTCACAAGTCTTTCGTTATGCAGTCTGTGCACGTGGCCTGTCCATCTTAGTCGCTTTGATTTAATTTCTTGGACAATATCGGCGTCATTGTAGAGTGCTTTTAATTCGATATTGCTTCTGATCTTATACTGGTTTGTGGTGATGTCATGGTGAGGTCCGAAAATTTTTCTAAGTAGTTTTCGTTCAAAGCGTCTGAGCTTTTCTTCGTTGGCTTTGGTCATAGTCCACGTTTCGCATCCGTGTGTTATTACAGGTCTGACGATGGATTTATAGATTTTGATCTTTGAAATTCTTGTAAGATTTTTTGATTTTATGAGCTTATCCAGTGCAAATAGACAGCGGTTTGCAAATTGGTTTCTGTCTTTTATTTCTTTAGTGACATCGTTGTCAGCTGTGATTACGGCTCCCAGATACTTAAAACGTTGTACTCTTTCGAAATTGAAGGTATTGACCGTCACATTTTGTCCTATTCTGTCTCTTCGTGTCGTTCTATTTATACACATATATTTCGTCTTCTCTTCATTAATCTTCAGCCCTACTTCACTTGTTGCTCCTTCCACCTTGTTGAAAATGTCTTTCGTGGATAGGATGGAGTCTCCAACGAGATCTATGTCATCTGCATATGCGAGTAACAGCTTGGGACCTTGAACCGATAGCAATTCTGTTTTTATTTCGGCCGACCTCATGGCTTTCTCTAATACAAGGTTAAAAAGTAGTGGAGATAACGCATCACCCTGTTTAAGTCCACTGTTGATTTCAAAGCTGTCAGACAGTTTATTATTTACACGTATTCCACCCTCCATACAGACTTTGGTCATCCGAATGAATTTCTTTGGTATTGAGAACTCCGCCATGGCATTCCATACTTGGCTTCTTTCTACGCTATCATATGCCTGTCGAAAGTCTATGAAAAGATTGTGTATGGGTCTGTTATACTCCCATCCCTTTTCTAGAAGTTGTCTCAGCGGGAATAGTTGATCTATTGTTGATCTGTTTGCCCTAGACCCGGCTTGATATTCGCCTACGACATTTTCAGCATAAGGGATTAGTCTACTAAGAATGATGTTTGAGAGAGTTTTATATGCCGTGTTTAGAAGTGAGATTCCTCTATAATTCGCGCATTTTGTTTTGTCCGCTTTTTTGTGGATGGGCACTATTATGTTTTCCTTCGATCGTGCTGGTATTCTTTCTTCTAATCATATGTGCGTTATTAGCTGGTGGATTTGGCGATGTAGTGCGTCTCCCCCGTATTTCAGAAGTTATAAAGTACAAGATGTATTTTTTTTTTCATATGTTTTCGATATTGCCTTTGCTTTCTTTTATTCTCCTTTTTCAATTTTTTTCTTTGTTCTTAAAATGATGATCGTAGATAAGATCTTAGAATAAATTTACTAAATTATTGGCTATTACTACGGTGCCATCAGTATACCTAATATTTTTCTATTGTATTGAATTAAAAAAACCATCCCTGGTGTTTCTGACTCAATAGCTTTCAGTACGATTTCCTTGGAGTAAGCGGTAAATAATAAAGAATTGGATATTTCACGCCCAATTTTTACTGCTCCTCGCTGACCTTAGTAGGTATTTTATACTAACTTTATATCGTTGGCGTGTGTGACAAGACACTAGTTTTTGGGAAGAAGGTTGTATGCGGTTAGTTTAAGTGCTAGAGGACTAGGCGGCACACTCTAAGCGGGGACCACAGCAGCATGAGTATAATTGCTGCTGACAAGAGAACATAGTAACTGGACTTTTGAAATTTGAGACATTTTCTGTTTACAGACCAGATAACATATCGTTTGTATACGTGCCATGTTCACATAGTGGTATGGAATGAAAGAAATTAGGGACGTAATGTGACTCACAAGGTTCAAGCACGTTTTGTAATGGTGGGCCAGTTTGCGTATGGGGAGGAATATGTTTCGATGATCGCTAAGTAATTGTAATGAATGAAATAGTGACTGCTCTTAGATATTGGGACCTAATTATAGAGTTGATAATTGTGTTTTTTTTTTGGAACAATGTGGCGGAGCTTCGTTTTATCGATAATAATTCTCATTATCGACAAAAATGTAAGGATAGAATATGATAAAATAACAAGAATATTATGCCCACCATGCTATCCAGGTATAAATTGGATTTAAGATGTTTCGGATAGAATTCAAGACTGTTAATCTATTTTCAGCATCCAGGTACAACATTAGAAAATTTGGAGGTATCTCATTAAAGTCTACTTGTACCTCGTGCCAAAGTGCCGCTATGGTTTGAGGAGAATGAGCCAAACCAAGTAATCTTAGCTCATAATGTCCCAGACGTATTCAGTGGGTGAAAGATCGGTAGATATAGGAGAACAAGGCAAGAAATGGACTTGATTGTCATCAAAATGCGCAAACTTCATTTTGTATGTATGTTGTTGCGCATTATCTTGTTGGAAAAGTGGGTTAGGGAGTGTCGTAGTTAGGCAGAACACGGTCTCTGATAAACACCAAAGGTCCTGCTTCCAAAAGTATTAGTCTCTATACCATCATTCAAACAGTATGGTGCACATGCCTTTCCATAGAAAATGGAGACACCCGTCGTTTATTACGTCGCTTTCTCACCCTTGCACGGCCATCATGCATGCCCAAATATCACTAAAATTTATCACCATGACAATGGTATTCCATTCGAGGTCCCAGCTCAACAGTTATCTGCAACTAGCCAAACGATTAGTTCCGTGCCTAGGAGCGAGAGGTAGGACAAACTGAGGATGGTATGAAGTAAGTCCCATACGCTATACACAGTTTGCATTGTAAAGGGTTTCTACGCTGTAAAAATGGTCTGTAATAATTGATTCCATAAGAACAAAAGCTTAAGGTGGCGATCTTGATGTGGGACCGTTCTTTTAATACGTCCTGTACCTTTAGCTATGTGTATACGACCTACAAGATTCCATACCCGACAACAAACCACTACTGTATTGATACTTCTGTGTAGTGGCATTTCTCTAATGGATAAATAGGCCTTACGCAAGACCACTATTCGCCCCCTATCAAACTTACTAAACTGTTAAAATTTTGGTCGTCTTCTCACTGTGAGCATAATGAACAGTTAAAGCAGCTCTTCACAATATATTGTACGATGATCAAATGTCAATTGTAGTTAGAAAACACAACCATCGCTTACTTACTTTTTTTGTAAGAACAGATAATATCACAAAAAACAAATTAGTCGATGTGGTTGAAAACTAATTGTTTTTTGGCAAGGTTCTGAAACTACTTTCTTGCAGCATGTCTGATTTAAATATTGTTTATATGAGATTAAGCCACAATTATTGGTTGTAATGAAACTCACAGTTTTTAATTAACTAATGTTTGACGTTTCGATTTCCACTCCAGAAATCGTTTTCAAAAAAGATTATTATACAAATTCTGGGAAATATATAAGCAAAGTATTTGTAATTGGATTTATGTCATTACTCGACCTCGATCTTATGCCAAACAGTATATAATGGTTGAACAAAATTTGAGGGTGGTGTTTTTTCCCTAGGAATATCAAATAAAAATATGAGAAATTGTGATTAAGTAACGTAAATTGATGAAAAAAAATTGTGTTATTGTGTGTTGTGTGTAAGATTGTATACGATGTTTTTCGGCCTTCTATTCCTCCGCTATTGTTGGTATTGTTGTTGACTTCTTTTTTTAATATTGGCAATCAAAGCCCACAACATTCTGCTGATGGGCTTACTACACATTTTTCTTCGTTGACTACTATTTTATTTCTACTCAATGATTCCTTCGTTGATTCCTACTCTACGAAGAAAAATGTGTAGCAGACCCACCAATAGAATGTAGCAGGCTTTGATTGCCAGTACCACAGCTACCTTTACTTCCGGAAGTAAAGGTGGCTGTGCCAGTACTAAAAGAAGAAGTCAACAACTAGAACAGCAATAACGGTATTCCGTAGGATGTCGAAAAGCATCATCTACAATCTTACACAACGCATATGCAACACACAATATACACTTAACAAAAATATATTTTTGCTCAATTTACGTCAAACATTCTTCTTATTTTGCAGTCTTCTAACGAAGGTTGGCGATCACTTCTTTACACGCTTCCCTATCTTTTACAACGTGAAATATCTTTTCAACACTTAGGTTAGTCCAATCTATGATATTCCCCCATTCAAGAT